ACAGGTTAGTGCAAATTTCCATCTTACCTGGAGATTGATCATTAAAAATTTAAAATTCCATTGTCAATTCCAACTTTGTCTCCTGACGGTTCTTACAATGAAGTGGCCAGTTACGATGATGATGTAGATACATCGTCAGTGTCTTGTAATACCTACCAAAATCTGAAATTCAAAGACCAGTAGATTGGACAGGAATGGATGAACTTCCCTTCTGTAGCTGCCTTGCGTTCTCGAGAAGCAAGGCCTCTGAGCCTGTGGGAAAGCCGGCCTGAGAGTTGCTGTCACAGAAGTGCAGTAACTTAGCTCACTAGTACCAGCTTACATCTCTGGCAAAAATGTTACCAGTACTATCTAGCAGCACACAGGGTTAACTCTGGTAGTAATTTCTCAACTATATTAGAAATGTTAGGGGAGAGCGTGGTAGTTTTCCAAGTATTTCATTCTTCATTGGTGAAATCCTGGCTTCGTTTTTATCAGTAGGAAAACAATTGAACTATTAATAGTAGTACAAGAAGGTGTCAAACACTTCAGCCTGTCAGGTGTTTAAGTAGCCATGTGCCTGAACAAAATAAGCAGAGAGTAGTGACAGCATTTGAGACTTTAGCTTTGGGTGAAGAAATGTGGCCAATACTTCAGTTTCCCAAACTCACGCCACTTTTCAACCTGCAGGGAAAATAAGTTCTGTAGCATCTACTGCTGCTGGCCTCCTGAGCAAGAACGGCTTTGAACCTTAGCGTGATCTTCGCACAGCTCAAGGGTTACCTAAACACTACTCGGGCTGAAGTTTCTTGTGTCACTCTGAGCTAGTCTACTTCATCGCAGCTGGGTGACTTTAAGCTGTTTCAGTCGTGGTCTGGTCTAGTCTGTGCCTGCTCAGGATGAAAATTATGAGATAGTATCCCTGTATTTCCACTACACTGGGTTAAATTTTGAGCTTTTCTTCTTCAGTGGTAGGCTTCTTTAATGAGTAATCTCATTTGTTGTGTTGCTGTTATTCATGCTTACGTATTTGAATTGCACATAGAAAGGTGTATGCTGCATGTACCTTAAAAACCCACAGTAAGCCCTGCGGCTTTCATCTCACATTACACAATAATGTGGTCCTGTTAAATTTGATTAAATTTGCATTTTGGCTTTGGATTTGGCTTTTCAGATTGAGGTCATTTTTACTATATATGGACATGCTCCCTCCCAGTGGGGTATTAGTTTCTGGCCTACAGTTTCTGAGAAGGTGATGGCTCGCATGACATCTGCCAGACTGGGTACGTAAAGGTACGCTTAGATTATATCTAGACTATGCACCACTGCTTTCTTTACTACCAGAAATCCCACTTTCAGGACCTTCGTGTTCATACAGCTTGCTCTTTCGCAGGTGATTCCCTGAGCAGTCAAACACGACCTACATTTGGGCATTTGTAAATAAGTGCGACTTCTTGATAGTACAATTTGTAGACCAGGAATTGGGCGGTAGCACAACTTCTTCAGACTGGTTTGTCTCCAGTAACTTCACATGCATCTTTTCTCCCAGCTGAAGGCTGGATATGCTAGGAAACTTTGATTTTCCCTGCAGTTTTGACATCATGGGTTGTCATCCCTTGAAAGGATTTGGCTACTTTGGCATAAATAATGGCCTAACAGCAATACCAAGAGTTGCTATGTGACTCAGGCTTTGCCTGCATTTGAACTCTTGTATAACCATACATTAATATTCTTATCTTTCTGCTCCTTTGAGGTGATGTGGAACAGGGCTTTTGCGTGGCCACTCACTGGTAGGGATAAGATCAGAAGTTAAAAACTACGTTGATCAGCAGTAAGTTTCTACATTCCGCAGTTTAGCTTTTCCCATGTGCATTACACAAAGATAAAACCTTGTCTGATGGATGCAGAGTAGCTGTACGATGTTTGGAAAATGTGGGAATCCACACATTGTATAGTAGGTGTAAGAAAATTCAGTTTGACTTTTCTAACTGTCCTATTTTAGGTATTGCTTTGCTATGGTAGCAGTGTTCAGGCCCGGGTGGGGACTTCCCTGGGGACATGATGAGTCACAGTCCTGGGAGCTTACTAGGACTTCTGACACAACTTTATAGGAAATATAGCAGGGAAAGGGAGGAAGAAGCAACATTAGAACATGGAATTGAAGTGAAATGTGATGCGCAAGCCAAAGAAACCGAGGTTGGGTTTTTTTTTTCCCAATTTAAACAACTAAAAGAAAACGAGCTTGATTTAGGTATCACAGAAGTGCTTTTAAAATTAGAGACAACAGTTCATTCAGGAGAGGACAAAGGATGAACCAGAAAGGCTAGTGGAAGTCACATTTTAGTTTTGAAGAGAAGCAAGGATAAAGACAAGGAAGGATCAAAAATGTGCCAAAACCAGTAATACAGACAGAGAGCATTATCTGTACTGTCTCAGAAAAGGAGGTCAGAGGGTCATAGTGAAAAGGAAAAGATGGTGAATGTAACAGCTGTCTTTCAGATGGCTGAGAATACAGGGATGCAGTTGTAGAGGAAAGCTGAGATCCTGGGCATCATGTAGTTGCTCATTCTCCACATAAGCACCATGGTATACAGAGCAGAAGTTCCACACACAGTGCAGTAAGCTTCTTACGCCTTCCAGCACAGCATTGAGGCAGCAGGATTAAAAAGCTAAAACTTAAGCTAAAAATAGCAGAGAAATGGGTATCACACAGTCTACAGGATTCCCCCGTGTTGTTACCTTTGGTGCTGTATAGCACGGGAAGAGTCTGCTATGCCCAGCTGAGCTGAAGGCATCAGCATGGCGCTCACGTCACCAAATAAATACAGTTGCGTATTTGCGATATATTTAAACATTGATTCTACAAAACCTCTCCAACCCATTATCCCTCAATTAGAAATGAAGAACTCCAGCTTTAAGTAAGTTTTACTTACCAGACCAAACCCGAGGTTCAGGATGTAATGAAAAATGTAAAGCTTTAAGCGCTGACTAAATCCAGGAGGGATTTCTACCCTGCTGTGTTCGTAGTAGTATGACACTGCCACTAAGAAAGTCAAAACAGCAAGAAAAACCTCTAGGAGTCCCATCTTCTCACTGTACTGTTAGGAGCCAAGTGGAAGCACCAGCTGTGGCTTCCCTCCCCCTCTGACTTTTGTAGGATTTCTGAAGGTAAAGGCGCAGGATTAGCAATCCTTATCATATCCCATCATCCATTTAAAAATGCCTATAGGAAGATGAGAATATGTGGCAATCAAACCAGACGGTTAAAGAGACAGTAGCAGTTAGTCATGGGAGAGGCTTGCGTAAGCAGTTTTTCATATGTGCAGCTAAGATGTTTTGAGCCTGTGCCCATCAGTGCACAACCACTGCTGGATATGTCACTGGTGGAGTCAGTGTGACGAGAAGACAGGAGCTTGTTTTGTCTCTCCCTGTTTCTTGAATACAGTCAAGTCTATTATTTCTGAGTTCCTGTGCAACGGGATTTCTTGGCAATCATCAGAGTTGCTCAGTGTCTTGATTTATTTGGTCTCTGCACCTTGCTTCTTCAGACTTTGAGTGAAATAAGGTTTCAGTGTCGCAAACGCTTTTCGTCACCTTTGATTGATTTTGTACGCCGCTGTGCTGTTGCATCTTGGAGTCTGATGGAACCAGAAGCAGCTGCAGCCTAAGCACCAGTGCTTTGCCTCTTGGCTCACCCCCTCCATAGCTTTTCTCCATCAGGTGAAAGCCGGTACCACTTGTTATGTTTCTTTGTTTTGTTTCGCGGCCTCTTGGCTGAGCCTGTGGTCTGTCTTCTCATGAATATATTATTTAGAGGTGTCATTCCAGGTAGAAATAGGATTCCAGCTGATGAAAACTGGACTTGGACTTCATGGTTTCAGTGCTAGTATCAATTACTAGACATCAGCAGCCTGCTCTTTCCTGTATGCTCTGTGGTGAGCTTTAGGATCCATGCCTTCCTCTGGAACAAATGTATTTTTCAGAACACAAATCATCTGTGGTAAGATTTAGCCTGAAAGAAAATACCTGTAAAGCAAAGCTTTTTCATCTCTCATGTCACCTTTGGGAAGAGGGTCTCTACCAGCCTGCTCAAACTGCGTGGGCAACTGATTCTCACTGAAAAATAGCAGTATGGGTAAAATCAGTGTGTAAAATTTTTCCTTAAATAAAACAATAGTGTACGAGGGATGAGCTGACCTTGAGATGTGTATTAAAACGAAACTAAGCGCAGAGAACCCCAGGGCTGTAGCGTGCATAATCGCTGACCTGCGTAGGAAAGAAGAGTGCAGCCTTGATTCCTGACTTTAGAAACCATTCACTGTTCAGAATAAACAGGAAGGAACTTCATTTTCGGGTCTCTGAAAAGAAGCTGGTTCTGTGTTCCCTCTCCCGCTGCCCAAACTGTTCATTTTATGCAGCAACTCTGGATTTGCATTTCCCAATGTCCCCGTTCCCTCTCCCTCCCTTGCCGGAGACTGATTACATGCTCAGTGTCAAATCAGGTTCCTTTTTGTTTATTCTTCCTTGGGTCACCTGATGGAGTCGCCCAGCTCGATGAGGGATGTTGGTGAAAGGCACATGGCCTGGTGATTGTGACACCCTCTTGGCAAGTGGAAGTGGTGAAGTGAAACCCATCGGGACGGAGGAGCATCGAGGGTTCAGTGTTCTTACAGCTCAGACCAGATCATCAGGAAATACTGTTACACAAAACGTGGCTGCAGCCCCATCTTCAGCAGGGAAAGTAATCAGTCAGCTTTGTGCTGAACTGTGTTGTCCCAAGGAGTTAGGTGTGGTCTAATTACGCTTATCAGATTTGCCCCCTCTGAGGATCTAAGAAGGCTTTTGACACTTGTGGCAGATCTTGACACCTATTGTTCAGCTGTTTTCTAAATCTTTTCGGCACCAGTCCTTGTGGTAGCCAGTTCACGGAAAACTGGTAGGTCTTGGACTCTTTGGAGCTTGTTAACTAGGCCCAGACATCACAGCACACCCCCACCCCCAGAGGCTCCACACAGGACTGGATGTGCTGGAATCTGGTATCAGGTGTAGAAGAAACAAACTAATTGGCTTAGTAATAAACTGTTTTTTACTTTGGGCACTGAAGGTACACAGAATAACACTTAATGTTTTATGAGCCTAGACTCAGCGATTTACAAGCTTGCTTGAGTCCCAGGATGGAGAACCATTCCCTAAATAATCTTACAAAGGTATGCTCTCACCGGCTTCTGATTTTTTAACCTTATCCCTTGCTCCTGTAGGACAGACCAGAGGAGTTGGTCCCCGAAACCAAAATCCCATTTTCTCCTACCCCAGGAACTCCTTTTCTTACTAATTTCCAGTGAAGAGCTAAATGTCAGTGCCTGGTTTATCAACACCGGGCTGGCATCCTTGTCTCTGCTGTGTCTCTGGACATGCCAGAGGAGACGGAGGCTGAGCCAGTTGCAGCAGAGTGGTCAGGTGGACCCAGGGATTCCTGTCTCCAAATCATGGTGCTGATGAGGTGGCAACTAGGTGCTCACCTGCTCAGGACAAGTGTGAAGGGGTGCCTGTAGTGGGATACTGGGAAAGAGGAGGTGCTGCCTGGCCCAGGGGTGCCGAGTTCTGCAGAGCGTGAGAGCTATCTGCTGCTCGGGACTGGGCCGCTGAGCGGTCTGCTCCAGGCCTCACCAACACAGCCTGCCATAGCTGCCAGCCGTACCCAGCCCTGGCCACCTCTGGTCACGGCGTGTTTGGGGCGATAGCCTCTGTGTGCACACTGAGGTCCCCAGTTAGTTCTCAGTATGCATAATTCCTCATGGAAGGACATTGGGGTGCGTGATTCTGTAGGTGCACTGCGAGTTCGTGCTGGGTTGTGTTTTAAGAACTTGACTGTAGCTCGCTGAAGGTGCAGACAGTGAGATGGACGTGCTGTCAGGAAGTGTCTGTGTAAGGAAACAAGTAATAATTTTGTATCTTTCCTTAAAAAAAAAAGAAAAATGTTTACATTTTTTTGATAATTTTGAGTGATAATTTCGAAAACTGATTTCACACTTTGGAAACTATGAAAGATCTTCAAATTAATGAACATTCTGTCTTAGCAATGCAAGGCATGTAGCAGAAATTAATTAAAATAAATTAGAGGACAGGAAGTTCCACAGGGACAATTAGATCTTGCAACTTTCTAAATTTTAGAAAATACGGGAGTCATTACTGAAAAAGGAATGCGTTGTTTCAGCACTTGCTGTTCTCTACTTCCCCATCTGCACTACCATGGTTATAACCCTCAACACAGGTTTAAATGCACGTGTTCAAGAGAGCTAGTAATTCTGCTGGCATATTATAAAGATGAGATTATTAATATTAGTTGTAAATGAAGACCTACAGATAAAGGACGATGGAAGAATCTCAGGAGTAGATCAGTGTAGAGTTTGGACATTGGCCAATAAATGAGGCATAACTCCAGAAACTGAATAACGAAGAGGCTTAAAACATACAAAGTGGAATTTTTCGGACATCCTTAGTTCTGGCACTTGCAGCCATCGCTGTACCTGCAAATAATGATCAAATGAACAAGCCTGGCGTAGAAGATGCAAAGAGGAGCGATACAGGAATAAAAATGGTCTTACATAAGGATAAGTCTGAAGGCTGTCACAGGTGTGACTCAAGTTCACAAAGATATATCCAAACTGAGTTTAAGCCAGCTTGCTCAAGTAGGGATAACAGTACAGCGATGGCACAACAGCCATGGACTAACTGCCCAAAGATTACGCAGCTTTTTGCATAGCTCTCACGTCAGACACCGACTTGGCTGGCCTGGCATCAGCTACCAACCTGTCCGCTGGTAAGCCAACCTTCGTCTTCAGTTCAGAAACCAACCTGAATTCTCCATTATGCATCAGGTTGTATAACAAAGGAAAATCCTACAATCCTCCAACCGTTGAACAGTTGGAACTTGTTACTTAGTCCTGGAAGAATTTCTTTGTTTGAAGAGTAAGTTGCCAATCCCTAAACTAGGAAAAATGAAACAAGTAAAATACCTGTTGTGTCAACAGAGCATGACGAGACATAATTTAATTTTGCTGAGTGGGACTGGAGAATTCACAAGCAACGACTTGTTGCTGCAGAGATTTATAACTTCTCACTGTGTTTAATTAATATGTCAACAACACAAAGAATTTAACCCATTATTTTCTTCCTACTCAGTGTGTAAGATACGTACTCTTTCCACACTTTTGTATATGTACTCTTTCCACACTTTTTGTGTGCAGAGATATGACAAGTGCAAGGTGGTTGCCTAACAGTGATGAAATATTTTACAATTCCGAGGCATTGCGTGGCTGGCGATTTTGACATGCAGTGACAATTACCTTGGCACTTGTGTTTAGCAAAGGGGGATCTGTCCTAATGCACAGTGTAACAATTGAGCTGAAATTATTTTTCTTTCCCATTTTGTATATTCGCAGACATTATTTTGGCAACTTCCATGCTGTTTACATACCCTTTCCCCACATTCCAAGTAAATAAGTTGATTATTTGTCTGGTTACAGAAAGGCAAAGCCCACTACGTCCCTGTCTTCCCTGAATAGAACCAAATGCTTCTCAGAAAGGAACTTTACAGCTTAGAGGATACTTGGTTCTGTTTTATTCTTTGACCTAAGAAGAGAACAAAAAATTCTTACAGCGTAAGAGAACAGCAAAAGAAGCGCACCAGTTCATGGGTTTTAAAAAAAGATTAAAAATACATCATGTTCCCAAGTAATAGCAACTGAAAATCAGAATTCAGCAGAGCGTGCTAATCTTAACTATTTCTTGCCTAGATTCTAATGTACAAATAGCCAGTCAATGGTTAATTGAAATACAGTCTGTCTACATACAGTTCACCATGTTCAAGAAAACAGTTTAATACTCTTTTATAAAGTTTACAGCGTGGTTCACTATTTTACCTGATGATGGAAAAGAGAAAATACCATAACCAAAAAATCCGAGTGCACAGTGGAAGCCGCCTTCCATGTGGTACCAGGTCACTTTTACGCCGTTGTCCTCCAGCCGTTTCTTGTACAACAGCCCATCATCTCGGAGCACATCGTGCTCACAGGTAATTACACAAGTGTCAGGCAGGCAGCGGATGACAGCATCGTCTGCTAACAGTGGGGAAATTCTTGTCTCAAACAGTTCTTTCATTTCTTCATGGACTTGGGGTAAAAATGAAGCGGGTAACGGTGGTTTATAGCCCAGTTTAAATGCCTCTGGGATAAGATCTGGATTTATCCACTTCCTATATTTCAAATTCATACTCTCAGGCACATGAGAACCCACCAAAATAGCTCGCTTCATATAGCAATCCTTTTTCAGGTACTTCAGAACGAAACGGACTATGTGCTCCAGGGACAAGAAGGGAATGAAAGCATTTTTCTGGTGAGATGGGAGGTTGAAGTTCAGTGCTTGGAGGAACGGGTAGATCAGTACCTGGGCACGTATCTTTGGGATATCTCTTCTGTTTACCAGTTCTTGGCAAACACTAGCAGTGAAAGTGCCCCCTGCACTATCCCCACAAATGATAATCCGATCCGGATTCACCCCGTAGTTTTCTGCAGTCTTCAAAAAGTGTACAGTAGCAGTGAGACAGTCCAAAGTTTGGGCTGGATACGGATGCTCGGGAGATAAACGATACCTGAGACGCACAAAAGACAGCAATTACTACAAGTATATACATTTGTACAGTGCTTGAACGTGTCATCTGACATGCATCCAGGGACTGTACGTCTGCAACACCTCGCCAAAACCAGTGCTACTTATCTAACGTTCTGCATGCTGAAGCAACCCAGAAGCTTCCTCCCCCACTTCTGTCAAATACAGAGCTCATTAGTCATTGAGGTTTATTCCAGCATAATTTAGGAGCGTGAGGGCTTGAGCAGAGCGCTCCAAGCACCCGCATTGTACAAAGCCACACATTTGCTCAATTCCTGCTCTGGGTGCACCTCCCTGGCCATCAGGGCTCACGGCGGCAGGGAGCCTGCGGTCAGCTCGCCGGGGCTGACCTCGGCGTGTGTGCGTAGCCGGGAGCCAGTCCCGCTTACCCGCAACGTCAGCCACGTTCTGCCTCCTGAACTTTCTGCGCTGGGGACGCTGATTGTGGGTAGTGTTAGACATCAGTCCAGTGTTGGGTCTGATTATTGCATTTTAATATTTACAAAAAAATCATACATGATACACCACCATAGGGTCAGTGTACTGCGTGGACAGAATAGCTTCCTGTAGACAATTCTTTCAGTTGTTTTATTAATTGGAACAAGTGAATTACAGAGGAGTGATGCTGAAGTAACGGTCCCTCTGTTTATTTCTTAACTAACAACTTACTTTCATGTGACCAAAAGCAAGGCGGGCCTAACAGTCGGATGCCCACTCAGGTTCAAGTGCTGCAATTTGATTCCAGTGACACATAAGGCTACTTTGAGACTATGTTTTTAACAGCCGGCGTTCTTTTTTCTCTGTATTCATGGTTTTAGGGCTTTCTGGAGAAGATAAAGTTTAGTAAGAGGTAAATACTGCAGAGGTGACAGCACAGGCATTCTCTCTTAACCCTTCAGTGTCTGCTGAGGCACACTGCAGCTGCTTTTCTGGTGTTTCACCCCTCTGTGAAATCAATTCAATGGATTCATAATATATAACCAGGGCATAAAAGGATGCCGGTGTCTGATGTCAGAGTCACTTTAAACACATCGTGCTCTACCTAGGCAAAATATGGAATATGCAATTCATTCTCAAAAACAATTCCTCCCGACTTAATAAAATTCCTCAGTAATTAATTTTTTCATGGAAGAATTTGTTGGAAACTAAGGTTTCTTCATACCATCAGCTGTTGTCCATAAGCAAAACATCTTTAAAATAAGGTAGTAGCCTGTGCAGTTTAAAAAAAACGTTACACTTTATACCTAAAATTTTCTCTTTAAAATCATCCTCAGAGTCCTCTAAATACTAAAACCTGAAATGGGGAGAACACCATATAATTCCCTATTATTGAACAACAGCAGTGATTTTTGTGGTGATAACGATGTATAACAAACAAATCTCTTTGTTCTGAAAACAGCTGGCATCCGTACTACCTCTGTAACTTTACAGACCTGTGTCAGGTATTTCTGACTGTCATTTCCTGGCACGTGCTTCCTCACACACGTCGCCAACACCAGAGCTCGGGTTCTTTTCTTATATTCAAAGAAATCTAAGTGCAGAATGGGCATTGTTCGGAGTGGGGGTGGGAAGCAGGGGGAAAAGCGGTGGAACTGTAATGCTGGGAGTAACATGGGGTGTGGAGCTCACTTACCCAACAGACACAACCACCGAGTCTGATTTTCTGGCTATGTACTGGCATATTCTTTCATAACCTCCTGAAGAACAAACATTAATGTAATTAGTAACTTAGAATCCCTGGAGCAATATCATAGAATCATAGAATGGTTTGGGTTGGAAGGGACCTTAAAGATCATCTAGTCCCTTAAAGATCATATCGTCCCTTTTTTTTATGAGCTGTTGCCGTGACTGAGTGGGGGACCCTTGCCTATTTAGTGTGCTACCCACATTTTCTCTAGGATAAACGTAATCTAGACTTTTGATCATCAGAACATGCTGTGAAGTTCACACATTTAGGGAGACGGTTGATCTGTAAGGAAAAGCGATGGCCCTGCCCATAGCAGAGAGTTTGGGCTAGGTGGTCTTTGAGCCCTTCCAACCCAAACCGTTCTGGGATTATTATCCACCATTGCTTAGAGTGGTTTTAAGGGATGAAACACAGACATTTGTGAAGGCTTATTACGTCGTTTTAAGTTACTGTGAGCCTGAGACTGACTTAGGTCTGTCGTGTCATTTTGCTGTGGAAATGCTAGCTGTAATTTCACAGTTAAGTCTAAATGACTTTTGTATTTGAAGCAGAGATTTGGCTCTTTCCTGAAGAATAAAGGGTGCAGCTGTGAAATCCGTACATTTCTGTGTGGCTAATTCAGGCAGAAACCTAAGGCATCCAAATTGTGTTACAGTAAATCATCTAATTATATGATTATTCCATGGTAAGGTTGTGGGCAAAAATATGCCTCTTTTAAGGTATTTAAAGATACATTGCATTTTCCTTCAACCTTAATTCTGAATTTGCTGTATTTAGAAGATTTGGTTACAGGTATTTGCTCTATGACGTGTTCTTTCAAGTACAGAATTCCATAGAAATGTGTGTATGCCTGTAGAAACAGCAGAACTTTTTAAGTTACGTGTTTGCAATTATCTGCTTTCACTACTGAATTGAAGTGGGAAAAAAGACAACATAGCTAAAATATGCGCATCACGGGCAAACATTTTCGCAAGGCTGCTATGGACCACTGGAATTGCCATGGACACTGTTTAGCCAAGTCCCAGTGAACATGCTGCACTTAGAGATCAGAGGGAGGAATGCAGGTGTTAATGGCTTCTGTCAGGTTTTCAGACAAAAAAGGATTGACTTATTTAACAGCACCACTTACTGTAAGGAATATATACGCCATAAAGGGTGCCATATCCTATAAAAGTTAATGTAGACACTAAATAAGGGCAGATTAGAGAGTTTAAAAAGTGAAAATAAACGTTAAGTGCTTTCTATCTCTCCAACTAAGCTTCAGTCACTTCTTAAGTTCGGGAGGGTTTTGAAAAATATATAATTAACAATCCTAAATAATCATATTTTCTTTTTCAGTTCCTTACTGATGCTTCCGAATATCCCGCATCCTCCATGGAAGAAGAGGACTCCCCTCCGTTTGCTGGTAGATGGTACTTTGGGGAGGTAGAGCCTCACGGGCACCTCATCAAAATGCAGATCCTTTATGAAGAGCCTTGAATCCCTGCATGCCGGCAGTCCATCGGTAACCAACCTGGTAAGTATGTGTTCCTCACAAATACGCAAACTTCCTAACTTCTTCGCCTTGATAGATATAACGGGAAAAAGGAGAAATTAGGCTAGGGAATTGGAGTCTTCTCACTCTATAAGGGCCCTGAGCTACCTTTTTCTATGCCTTATTGCGGACAATTGTATTGGTTATTTGCCATTTTGTAGCATCGCCACAAATAACTCCAGTCGCTTTGAGGTTTCAGTTATGAAAGTGAAAATGTACATCTTTGTTATTTGAGGTATCATTATTTCTGCAAGACTGTTGTATTACTTGTTCCATGAAACACATTATAAAAATATCTTCTGACTTCTGTGATCTGGATTTACCACAAGTAACGTCAGGCATTTGCTTAGGCATGGAAGTCATGAGGCCTGAGGCTCCTCTTCTAATCAGCAGAGAGAAGGAGGCATTTCTCGAGGGTGGTTCCAATCCCAGGTGCATTAAATCGTGCTCTGGAGACGGCTGTTCCTCTCCACTGATTAGGAAGGGAGGCGGTGTACTCCAGGTGCCCTCAGCTGAAGTGTTTAAGGTTAGGTGAGATGACAGCATCCAGTATGCTGGGAGAAAAGTATCGGTATGCAAGATTCCTGCTTACTCGTCTTACTTCTTACTGGTCTTGGGTCACCTCTGTGTCACAAGGTGAGTGAGAACAAGCTTTAAGAAAATTGTTAGTGCCTATAATCAATAATAAGGGCTGCTGGACTAAATGAAGAGGAAAATGGTTCTGAAATGTCTCCATCAGTGAAACTGTTGCCTTTGTCAAGATCTCGCAGGTGTTTATGAAATGGCTCCGTGGTCGGTTTCTTACATCTGATCAGGGAAAACAGATATTCTGGAGATAGAGGAGGTCTGTTAAACGTGCTAAAGCATTTTCTTATCTAAGGTTAATCAACTGCTGATAATTAACATAGCCTGGAGATCACAGTGGAATCCTCGTTTATTTTGAATATGTGTTGTGACAGATGCATTTCCTGCTAGTGACAACATTTCCCTTCCCATTAAATGGTGATTTAATTGCCCTTGCAGACTATTATAGTTCATACTTCTGAAATGATAATAAACATCACAAGCAATTTTCAGATTGTATTGTTCTCTTCAGAGCACCGGAAGTCTCTGTGCATGCCGCTGTATCAATGTCTTCTACACCAATGGCCAGCTGTGCTTTGTAAATAGCTCTTTCTGACCTTGTGTATCTAGCCTTTAATTTAGATCTTACTCAGTCTCCGAGATAATTCAAATAGTAATTTTGCTGTGAAAGAAAACCAGAGTAAGACAAACAGGCAAAATCTTAGGTGTGTGATCCCAGCTATTGTGTACATATAAAGCCAAATCTCACATAGTTCAGGTGTGTTGCAACACCCAGTTCCTCACCAAGGCCTTTCTCAAATGACACAGATTCTTTCTTTCTAATAATCTTGACCAGGCTGCAGTAAACAAGTTGGGTGAGGAGAAATAAAAGAAACCACTGTGAGCCACGGAACAGAGAGAAAATAATTTAGAAACCAAGATGGGAACCCAGAGGTGATCTGGAGGTTTTCCAGAATACTCTGTGCCACAGCTGCCAGCCGTGCTTGGGGTGTTTGAAGTCCCAGTTCCTAGAGACAAATGGATAGGGACAGTTCTTTTCTTACATTTGGAAATGTACATTTTTAGTTACTATGGCAGAGGGGGAAATGAGTATAAGAGCCAAGGCAATCGTGGCAGTAACCACAGGGTCAATATAGCCTTCTCCCAACAGCAATTTTCAAAAACTCTCATGACTCTTAAGTCATTCTTTTTTGTCAGAGTTATGATTTTGGAATGGTTAAAGTTGGCAGAGTTGCCATACTGTGTTTATGTCATTTCATCTGTACTTTCTAACATCCCTGAGTTTTTACAGAGCTTTCAGATGACAGATAGCGGTATATATGATAAGTTTGGTAGCAGAGCAGTCTCTCTAAATATCCTCTTTCCTTATCTTAGGAGCTTCCTGACATCACAGAGGCATCTTCAAATTCAGGAGGAACACTGTCGTGAAGGAGAATGAGGAATTTGGTACGTAGTCTGTTGAAAAACTTCTTGATCGATGATTACAAAATGCTTCAGAACCAGTAACAATACACACAAAAAATAAAAGGTATGACTATTCCAAATCGGATGCAACCAGTGTTAGTAGGGGGAACATAATACATAAACCAGATTCTATAGTGTCTATATGTGTAAGAAATAGAGGAACCAGATCAGCATGTCAGCATATTTTTTTCTTGCGAAATACTCGTTGAAAAGTTATTTGCTGGAACACTTAAATTCCAGCACAAACTGGCTTTTTATGTGGAAGATCACATAGGGACCAGTGAGTCTGGCTTACAGGTACTTCAGTGACAAGTGATAACAGGTCTAGCTGAACCTGCTTTGGCCAGGAGGCTAGATTAGATGACCTCTGGAGGTGCCTTCCAACCTACGTGATTCTGTGATAGTTGACTAAGACACAATAAGTGGAAATAAGAAAAGAGTCACAGTTAAGAAAATTACTGTAGGTAGGTCAAAATTTAGGAAATTACCTTTAATAAATCAAAAGTGCACTGAGATACAGAAGGTTGGGTTATTATTACTGATGTAAATGATATCCACAGCCCTCCTGTCCTCTAGAGGACCAGTCATTTCATTATAGCAGGTAATCAAGTTACAACTGTTTCAAATGAATGTATATCTCGGTATTTAAAAGAACTCACCTCATACTGGCTGCCTTCATGTACAGTAATAGAACACCAAATCAAACTTTGGTCTTTATCTTTAAATCTGTGTTACTGTGTGGTTCACATTACACATAGTTGCAATATTTAGATGTATATCTTCATCATTCTACGCAAGTTTTCCCTTTCCTGAAAAACACAATGTCGCAGAGCATGATAAACTCACCAGAATTTCCATCAGGGTGTATATGTAATGATAGAAGCGGAGCTTTGATGGCTTGTCAACATCAGGAGGAATCTCTGCCTTGAAGGAATGACGATGAGTTGCAATTAGAACCAGCAATGCAAAAGCAACTAGAATTCCTGCTATTAAAGCCAGAACATAAAAGGATTCCATTTTTCTTTGGTGTGAATAATTTATTAGAGCACTCCTTGATATGATTCTGTCAATATTTATATCCTCTAGACTGACTCCACAGAGAAGCAATTTGCATACCAAAATTCCTCCGCCCTCCCGCCCCAGATAAGGCTGCCAGATGCTAGAAGCATGCCGACATACGGCTAGTGCAGCTGTATTTAGCATGGTCAAGGCTAATACATTGAAGAATCATCCAGGAAATGTCATTGCTTTGTCGATTCCAAAATTGCAGATGAACTTTACTTTTTTATCTGGTTCAGTTGTATTCTGCTTTATGGGCCTGAAGAGGTATGTGTGGTTTTTTTCAAGTGTACTCAGTGTAACGAAAGATACAACCTCTAGGTAGGGAAGACTGTCAGTGCCGACCTCCAGCTTCCATGTGCAGCAGCTGTAATGGTTCTGCTCTTGGAATAGGTCTGAAATACAATTCTAAGGCTTTTTGCTTAGTGCTGATCTTTTTTATTCTTTTTTTTTTTCTCCGCTGTATTGCTGAGGCAGACAACTGGCCACGGCAGAACAGACATTCCAAAGTACATCTAAAGGAATTTTGCTTTTAGAGGTTCATACAGAGCCCTGAGTTATTTGGAAGCTCCCTACCTGTGTGTGCAGCAAGGGTCTGTGGGCTCACCAGTGGGCCAGTGATATCAGAAGGAAACTTCCCCTTGATGTGGAGAACTTTGGTTAAGTCTCTATTCTGATTCATTCCAAAGAAAGGATTTTGATGTCTTTACAGCTTTATAGTTTGCTGGTTTTTGCCAAGACAACTCTACGTTATCCTTTGTTGTAATTTAGGCTGGGATTAGACCATGCAGCTGGCCAAAGGACTGTGCCCGTAGAGGTGATGACAGTGAAGGACTAAGTGACCAGGTGCAGCTCCAAGTACTCCTGTCTACCATGTGACTGGACAAAATTTGTTTGGGTAAAAGTAAAAAGCAAACAAACATCACCTCAGCTTGACGTAATTAGTACAAGCTATGCTTATCCCCTGAACACTCTGAAGTATTTCTTTATCTCCCACTAATCTCCCAGATACTTCATTTATAACCCTTATAAAAGCTTGTTGTTGTGGTCATAGAAGAGAAATACTCCTTTTTATGGGCCACGAGATTCTGCATTTGGCTAACAAACCTGTAGTGGTATTCCTGCAGAAAGTAGGATCTTGACTAAAAAAAGTGAGTCCTTTCTAGCTTTTCTTATACCCATAAAGGCAGACGAAATATATCTGCTTAGAAAAATCTCATTTATGCTAAATATGCATTACATGAAAGAGGGAGAAACTTTAATGTGAATTAGTCAATAGGGTAAGCAAATATTTAGCGACGTGGAATGAGCATAAACAACATGAGTCATAGGACATTAAGTACCAGATGATGAGCAACCAGCCTGGATTCTTAGGAGAATAGGTCAAATGGTTAACTTCAGTGGAATTCAGCTAGTACAAGTGATTGAACGGCATGGTTTAAAATGTTAATAAATAAATAAATACATGTGAAGGGTAAGAAAACCATTAAATCCGTGTAAATTATAATGTGGAACTCTCGGCTTATCTCAGCAGGAGATAGTAGGCATCTTTCCAATGCTGACTCAAATGGTTTGACTAAGCTGGGGAATAATTGATCTCTTCCTTTGCTGTGAGGTGCAGGATGCTTAACTGAGCCCCTCCCAACTCCTTACTCCATCCAGCCCTGTGAGGCGACACTAACCTCAGTGATTTAAAAAACCAAAATATAACGTCAATTAAAGCAAAAAGTGAGGCTACTTTTGTATTCCGTGGAGGAATATCTAGGTTGGGGTTTAATGAGTTTTACTAAGCCATCTTAAAATTAATAGGTTTCAAGTTCTGAATGTCCCCATACTTGTATGACAAGTGGAAGTTCAAAGGCATTTCTTCTTTATTAATTTCCAGTTCACTTTGTGGTGGATTTAAACACCCCACTGATATCATCTGAGGAGATCAAATATCCAGATTTCCCCTCATAAAAGCTGGATGTCACAATACCAATTACCTTCTGCCAAATCACTTAGGAGCTTGCAATATACATGTTTTTTCAGCGATATCGAGGCTTTTAGACCATCAGCCAAGCATCTACTGAGAGGTTGGAGAAGAGGCAGGAGTCCTATGAAAAGGGATTCTTGGACTTGGAGGTTGGTTTAGGGTTGGTAGTTTGTTTTTTTTTTTCCCCCATAAAATTTTAATTGAAGGGCGGGGATGAGTGTTCTGAAAAACCACCTCTGTTAATTATTTTACAGCTCAGCTTCTAGGAAACATCTGGATTTATGCACGTACTGTTACAACGGATCTTTCTTCTTCCAAAGAATTATCTGATCCTCACTGACCTGTGTTATTGTGCGTATCAGGACAGATAAAATAACTTTTAAAAGGGCAGCAGTCCCCATAAATGAATTGAAGGATCAGTTGGCCTTTGGAAGCCCGGCATTGTTTACACCCTGCATCATTTGCTCCAACATCCTTCTCCAGAGCTGCTCTGCTCTGAAAAATAATAGCGATACCAATTTGTAGAGGTAATGGCAGTGATTCAGCCAGAATGAGCAAATTGACTTTCTGCTAACAGTGTAAAGTTCTAGAAATAGACAGATAAATTATTAAAAATCCAAACGTTATCCTTGCTCAGGACACCATCAGAAATGCTGTGGGTTCTGTTCAGGTGAAGAACCCAGCCTCCGTCTGGGCCTTCTCTTCGCTCAGCTGCATCTCTCCAGATATTTTATTTTCCCACCATCAATTTATAATGTGACCTGACTCCCCCACAATAATTCATACACCTAAAGCTGATCCATCCTTGCCTGCCAATGAAAAATTTGCCTTTGACAACGGTATTTTCTTCCTAACATTCCTTCTCTTTTGGCTTCCTTTCTGGATTTGTCAAGTTTGAAGAAGCTTATGACCGTTAGAGGACTTGAATTATTTCACCTCTGTATGTACTAGTGGACCACTAGCTCTGAAAAGGAATTATAGCTGCATGTAATGAATTCTTGTGAAAAGACATTGTTAGAAAAGGATTCAGGGAACATTTTTATCTAGAGATTTTTTTTTTCCTAAGGTAGTTTACGAGCTTCCAGTGCAAACTTCTTACAGGTATTAGCCTACTCTTCTGGTTTTGTCAGAATCCGTATCACGTTGGTTTAGTAGGATTTCAGTTCAGACTCTTGAAACACTAAGCTGCTCTAATTCTGAGGGCCTTATAGCCTTAATTCTTCTGCCTCCCTAGTTCCTTGTGTGTCTTAAAAGTTTTGTCAGGACTGAGGAATTAGAAGGAATGGTAAATATTGACTGACATAACAGTGAGGTAATGTACTAAAGAGAAGGTAAGATGAGTCAGTCAGTTTAATGTAGTCCCTTCGTTCCTGTTTATCTTTTCACTGTTCTGTCTTGCAATATGAAGAAGCTGGCTAACTGATGGAGACAAATTTGGTCTCTAATTAAGGATAGGTGGGAAAAAAAAGGGCAGTTAGTACAAATGACAAAAACGAACGTGTACTCACATGACTAAGCCGTTGAAAGAAGTACCACGTTCTTGGTGTTGTGTCCCTTTGTCCGAGTTCCAGGCAGGACCGACATGCACATTGAAAACATGTACTTCTGGCACTTATTTTTACACGTGTTGAATCTAGAAAGGGATGCCGTCTAGAATTTAGAATTACTCTGCAAGACATTTGTTGTATCTTCACTCATGGTACCGGTTTGTTGTGAGACCCTGGGAAAGCGGTGACACCCAAATATAGCTTTTCGCATGAGGCTGGACACGGACTGCTTTCTGTCAAGGATGGAAGTTAAACAGAAACCTGGTCCCTTTGAGCTTAGTCCGTGGCAAAGCTCCACTTACAAGGCAGTGATATCAGACTTTCAATACTTAATACCTTATAGAAGGGCAGTGTGAAATCATAGAACCACTGGGACACATTTCACATGGAAAATGTGAACTCAAGGGAAGAATGAAATCAAAAGGCACCAAAATTCAGCTCTTGATTTATCCCAATCTGACAGCAGTACTTCATGTAACAAAGACCAGATCAGCTTGGCAAAAGGTTTTCCTTTTTTAAAGGAGGTTTAGTTCCAATCTGTGATCGTGATAGATTGTTCATGGTCAGGAGCCCGGCGCTGATGTAAAAAATGGGAATTACTTGACACCCTAAGTAACAGACTTTCTGCTGTAACAGTGCTGCGCTGTGTTCCCAGCTTTTTCACATCTGCTTATCAATGTACTGTATATATTTGGATAGGTTTTTTAAGTTGAAAACAAGATTGTTAGCCCAAATGGTCTCCAGATATGCCTTGAGCATGCTTTTACTTTCCAGCTCCTTTTCCTTTCAAAAGCTCTTGCAGTTTAGCAACTTCATTTGCATGACCAGACTTCCAAGTTTGCTTGGAACTTGGCTGCAAAGGCTCCACGACCAAATTCAAGGTTCTGCTGTTGTATATCAGTGTGACATCAAGAGTCACAGTGGAAGGGGTTGGAAGGGACCTCTAGAGATCATCTCGTCCAACCCCCCTGCCAGAGCAGGATCCCTTAGAGCAGATCACACAGGAACAAGTCCAGAGGCTTTGGAAAGTCTCCAGGGAAGGAGACTCCACCCCCTCTCTGGGCAGCCTGTTCAGGGCTCTGTCACCCTCCCAGGGAAGAAGGGTTTCCTCATGGTCAGGATGAACCTTCTGTTTCCCAGTTTATGGCCATTCAGCCACTCTACCTGAGCCTCTTAGATCCACCTGACATTGTCCTGTAAAAAAGGACCTTTGCTATGCAAGTGATGTGTATAGAGAGTGTATCAACTTGTTTTGCAGGTAAAACTTTCTTTTTCACTGCTGTTTATTTCTTCAAGACAGGAGAAGTAACAAAAAGTTCGTTCCTATGTCTCGCATTGAGAATATGAGTAAATCTACACTAAATCCAATCCAAAACCCAGTGTTCAGTTACTTTAGGCCTTCCTAACCTACCTTTACATTAGCTAGCCAAAATATG